TGAAGTTGTGAGATAGCGTGACTAAAATTAATTGTTTAAGATAGTGTGCATGAGATAGAGTGGTGCAAGGGTGAATATATGAGAGAATGGCAGTGAGAAAGTGTGTGATGTGTGAGAGGTGACATTGTCAGCGAGTGATTGTTTGTGATAGCCAGTCTATGTGAGAGTGTGAGAGATAGTAGGGTGAGAGTAAATGTGTGTGAAATAGTATGTGAAGTGTGAGAGAGAAATGAGAGTGACTGTGTGAGAGAGCATCCTACCCTCTCTAGGAGCTGCAGTCGCTCTTCAGTCATGAGGTTTTTCTGCACTAGCTGACTGACGGCGTTCTCCAGGCCCAGCAGCTTGTCCAGGTGGCGCCGGTGCCTCTGCTGCAGGACCTTCACCTTCTTCTGCAGCTCGGCCACGAGCGCCTCCAGCTGCTCCTTACTCAGACGGTGCTTGTGGTAGCTGTCCCGCAAATCACATGTAAACGCGCAGAAATCACCGTGAGCAGGACGCACGCTCAAGTTAATTCATGTCTCTAGTAGTCACTTCCTAAAACTGGTCTAGGTCAAAACTAAAAACATAAAAAAACAAGAATGACAGAAATATTTTCTAGATCTTTTTTTTTGCACTCAAGATGCTCCAGGTTTTCTGTTCCATGCTATGCGTTATTTTTTGAGGGGGGGCATTGTTCTATGCTACTAGCTCGTTACTACGAACAGCTACAATTTAGCATCGGCACACACACACACACACACACACACACACATCTCTCTCTCTCTCTCTCTCTCTCAAGAGAGAGAGAGAGAGATAGAGATACAGACATAGATAGGGGAAATCCTGGCCTGCACTGGCTGAAGAAAAAACAAAAACACGCACGCACGTACGTACGTACACACATCTCACCAGTGCTCCTCCAGTTGGTGGTCCTGGCTCTCGACGTCATAGTCATCATCATCCTGCTGGTCGTAGCCTCCGTCCACCTCAAGCAGGAGTGGCATCGATGGCTGCGGCGGTGGTGCGTGTTTGGACACAATAGGCAATGTGGACGCGATGGGTTCGGGGCTCAGAGCGGATGATAGCACCGTGTCCGAGGAGACCACCAGGTGGCCAGGGAGATCATTCGGTATGGACTCTAAGTAGGCTATGACCTGAGTTTGGCACGACTCCTCCGCGGGCATCTCTTGGAGCCCAAGCCTATGGGCGGGGGTGAGAAAGGTGCCCACCAGCTCCTCTTGGCAATCGCCGGGCAGCAGAAGCAGCTCGCCGTCATGGTGCCCATCCACTGGCTGCAGTAAGGGAGGTATGGCAGGTAGCGTAGGTAGGTAAGGGAGGTCAGCAGCCGCTTTTGACCCGCCCACCGCAGCCCACAGGCTGGGGTCCTCAACCAAGACGGCTTCCCTGCGAAGCACTTTGGCTTTCTTCTCCTTTTCAGCCATCACTTTGCGTTTCTAGAAAGATGCATTTGCATTGATATTGCTTGTATATTGGAACCAGTGGATGAGAAAAGTAACAACAAAAGGTTATGGATGGAACAGGTAGATCAAGTGGAGCTACATAACTAGTAGATGTAACACAGTTAGTACACAATAGATAAGATAAGAACAGCTTTATTTGTCTCAGAATGGAGAAATAGGTTAAATAGAGTAACAATTTAATCCATTTTTTTAATACATTGAATTAAATGAGTGTCTGGGAAATATAAAACAAGTGTCATATGTAAGTAATAGACTTGAAAGTAACAATGGTAATCAGAAGATTATACATTTAACATTGGTGATATTGGGAACGAATTGATTAGAAAAATTAAGGACATGATCAGTCGATTAGTAATGTATCAAAAGGCAGTACAGTATATGGTATGACTGGATTAGAAATTTATTGTTGAGGTATATGGAGTCAGGAGATTAGAAATCGAACTGGAGGTATCGGTAACTAGATCACCAAACGTAACAAATGGTTACGTATCCAGGGAAATGGTGGATTTGAAATGTAAGAAAAATATACAGAATTGGTAAAATTACAAAAATAATTTGTAACCGGAACAAATAGAATAGAAAGGTAATACAGGCAATATATGGAGCACTTTTTGAAAAGTAAACGCAGAATCAATTGATTAGAAATGCAACACAAATTGTATCTGAAACCAGTAGATTTGAAATGTGACAAAATAATACACATAAAACCGAGATTAGAAATTTAAGGAGAGGTTGTGTATGGACCTAAAGGAATTAAAAATGTAGCAGGTTGGATCTTGTTTAAGGCATTTGCAGATTAAAATGACTCCAAATTGTATGTGGAAGTAGCAGATTAGCAAACAGTTAAACTGGTGTTGTTGTGTCTGGTCGTGTTTTAATTCCTGTTTTACCTCGACCCTCCGGAAAACTGTAGGCACAGCATCGCTCTCCAGGTAGCGAATCCCCCAGCGTACCTTGAAGCATGATGACACAAAGTGCTCGTGGCAGATGTACTGGTGCCGAGAGGGGATCCAGTTGTCCCGGCCGATGTTCCTCAGCCACAGCTGCAGCCGCTCAGGATCCTGCAGCGGGAACCTGCATGTCCAAGTACAAGATGCACTCTTAACAGATGTAGAAGGGGTCGATTAGTATTTTAAATGGACATTGGATTGGAGTTAGTGGACGAGAAATGTAACACGCATTCAATATAGACAGAGTAGATTACAAATGTAACAAGCATTATATGGAATCAGCAGACTGGAATCGTAACAAAATGATGGATTTAGAAGATGTAGATTAGAAATGAAACAAAAGATTGTATATGGAGCCAGAAATTCGAAATGACACAAGAGGTATATGAAACGAGTAAATGTAAAACGTAATTTGAGGTGTGGCATGGAACTGGTCGGTTAGAAATGTAACACAGGGAGCATAACAAGACAGTAAATTTGAGTGCCAACTCTTTGGAGTCAGTAGATTAGAAATGTAAAAATAGGTCATAAATGGAACCGTAGATTAGAAATGTCACAAAGGGTTGTATGTGGACCTACGAGATTACATAAAAACAAGAGGTACATGAAACTAGTGGATGAGAAAAATAAATGGAGGTTATGCATAGAACGGGTAGATTAGAAATGTAACACAGTTTGTCAATGAAACTAATAGTTTAGAAACGTAACATGAGTTGTAAATGGAACAAGTACCTTTGAAAGGTAACCATAGAATGAGTAGATTGCAAAGGTACCAAAAATTTGTATATGGAAATGGTGGATTTGAAATGTAACTGGAGTTATACAAAAATACTAAATCAGAAATGTATCCCTGATAGTATATGGGACAAGTAAATTAGAAATCGAACACAGGTAATATCCAGAACCAATAAAATTAAATTAGAAATGTAACAAAATGGAATCTCGAACCAATAGACTGGAAATGATGCAACGAGAGAAATATGGAACTAGAATATTAAAAATGTTACAATTGGTTGTACGTGTAACTAGTAGATTATAAATGGAATTAGAAATTGGAGGTAGTGTATGGAATTTATATGATATAAATGAAAAGGAATTTATACACTGTAAATGTAACTATGGAAACAGTAGATTATAAATGCAACATTTGGGTTGTATATGGAAATGGTAAATTAGAAATGTAACCAGAAGTACAGGAAAACAATAGATTAGAAATTTAAATATTAGCTCGATATGGAACATCTAAGAAATGCAACATGGAACTGGTAGATTACAAGAATAACTGGAGGTTGCATATGTAACTGGAAATTGTATTGGAAAAGAGTAGACTAGAAATGCAGCAATAAATAAATGATTTAAAAAAAATCGGTGGCCACTTAACACAACACGTCACGTCATGTAACTCAAGAATGAACAAAAGCGAAAACCCGGTCTCAAAGGTCAAAAACCAGGACGCGGTACAAGTCCTAATTGGGCTTTATAAATAAAACCCGTCTATTTTTTACTTTAGCAATAAACGTGTGAAAGAAACATTAAATTGGCGTTAAAAAAAAACGACAAGTAAAAAAAAGACGCGCGGTCACCCAGACGACCGTAAACGGCTTTACATCAAACGACGTTAAACTTTCTTACTTGTAGAAGCTTTTTCGGTCGCTGCCGCTCGCCGAGTCATTCTTACAGTTTGGCACCGAACAATATTTGGGCATGTTCAGTCTACTCAACGTCGTTCACGTCGGGTCAGCTTTATCTGCGCGTGCAGGCGCATTGACAACAAGGTGAAACTCATGCAGTATTGACAACGCGGTGCGTGTCGTTGACGCCAAATTGATGCGACCAGATCAGCTGCTTGCGAACGTCATATTCAGGCGACTGACACAGCGGGGTTGTCCGGTACAGTGCTGTACTATTTTTTCGGTCACTTTTACCCTCCCACATTTTGTTCTCTTTAAATGTCATGTCTGAAGTTTTTTTTTCTGTCTGAATAATGATGATAGTCTTACAAGTTTTTTTTAAGTGAATGTGAGAGACGACTGTCACTAGCACTGCTGCTGTTGTGCTACATTGATACTTTAGCCACGGCACAACAGGAAAAACGTTAAATTCTGTATCTTTTTCTTCCTGCTTAGATTAGATGTAATATTGTCCCCCCCCCCCCACACACACACAACTGCTGGTCCTTTGTTTATTTATCTTCTTTTCACTTTCTTGGTTGCTTTTTTTTGGAGGGGTGGGGGTGGATTTGTGAATACTGCTGCTGTGGAATATCTAAATCCATCTACCACTGACCCAGTTCTTCGTTACTAAGTAACTTTATTTGACGATTTACTTTTACTCCCTACACTTGAAAACAGATGAGCACTTCTTACTTAATTGACATAGGCTTGTAACTTTTTTCAGTCTCCGTGGATGACTATGTACATGAAAAATGGCATAAACTGGCCTTTTATTTGCAAACAGTACAAGCCAGGGTACATTCGGGTGGTATGATGTCTGTGACTACTTCTGACGTGAGCTGAAAATGATCCAGTGGGGAAGGCAATAAGTACAAATTTTCTATTGCCCCCTCCACAAATAAGGATGGACTCATTTATAAAATCTCTGGTCTGATTTTTATTTTTTTTTCTCCAAACATTACATGGAATCTCAATAAATGATACAGTATATATACATACACATCAGTGTATTTCTTTACCTAAAAAGTAGAGGGTCATTAGACAATGCAGCTGTGCGTTTTCAAGACAGGGTTACATTTTGGACGTTTTTACTTTTTTGTGTGTTACTAGGGTAATCCACAATCCGGGTGACAGGTTGGGTGTTTGGGTTCAGAGAGTGGGGGCAGTGTGCGAGCTGCCGGGGTGAAAAGATCAAGGGGTTGGGGGGAGCAGCAGTATCTTCCTCCGGAAGAAGAAGCAGTGCAAATAAAACATTGACCACGTCCGTTCCAGCTAACACGTCAAAAATGGCAAACAGCACCTCGGTGTGAACCCAGAGTCAGTCTCTCTTTTCGAGCTGGGATCTTAACATGTATGGAGATCTCGTATACCTGAAAAGTAATACAACGTGAAAAAAGATAACGTACTGTTAAACACTGACGGAAATGCCGCTCTTGACCCATCTTGGAGAGCACGCGCTTAACTCTTTGAGAGTCGCTCCTGGGTGATCCCTTGACTATCATTCCACTACAGATCTTTGGTAAGAACCAGATAGGTGATCCATTTAAAATAGTTGAAACAAAAACTTCGGAGACACATCCGGTATTGAGCGTTGTATTCATGTATGAGGCGAGCGAACGGTGGAAATGTTTTCCAGTTTGGAAGTGGTAACCTTGTGGACCAGGCGAGGGGGTCTAAGGGATCTCCCTCAAAAAGCTAGGAGGAGCGAGATCCCTGAGGCCTAAGTGGGAGTCGGGGAGCGCTGAAGGGCGTGAAGTGGGACGCGTCCGGTGGCCTTGGCGGACCGACTTTGTCTTGGGTCTACATCATCCCCAGCTGCATTAGCGTGTTGGCATACGCCATGGGCTTGACATTCGGATGAGGCTGGAAGGCAAAGTGAGGAAGAGGCCATCCATAAGAAATCAACACCATGGTGAGAAATAAGCAGTTTTGCATCGCAGTTTATGTGTCAGTATTCACATTTTGTGCCTCATCAAAACATAGTGAAGAGCAAATCGGAGAATCACAGATCTTTACGTTTTTCCGAACCACAGAGACTGTCCCATGAGGCTTCGCTGGGCTGGAAGGACGCATGTTAACATTAGTGGAAGAAGGGGCTTACATCACCTATGTGTGGGACCTATGCGGTCATATCAAACTCTGTGCTACTTACGCCACAACCAGCTAGCTAGCAACAAGATCCGTCTGGTTACGTTTGTGGCTTAAAACATTCCCGACTTGCTCCTGAGTCAGTAATCATCGCCGCCATGGTGGCAGATGACCTACACTCCAAAAACAGGTCCTCGAGGATTAGCATGTTTTAGATGTTTCCCTCCTCCAACACACTCGATTCATTTGATCAGGATTGTTATCAGGCTTCGGCGGAGCTTGGTGATGAGCTGATCATTTGAGTCAGGTGTGATGGAGCAGGGAAACGTAAAATATGCAGCATATTGGCCTGGGCACCAAAGTGCTTGCGGGACTGCCGGTTAGGAACAAGCACCATTTTTCAACACAAATAAAGCCGTTTTCACCCCACGGAGTGTAAATCTACACGATACTGACCACAGCAGTGAACTGGTGGAACTCTGGCTTAAGGTCGGATCCCCTGAGGCGGATAAAAGCTCCTTTGTTTCCCATCTGGTCACTGTGGGAAGGCAGAAGACCACAGACCAATGTTCAGGGCCCGGCACTTGGTCACAAAAAACGGGACGAGGGATGCTCACCAGTAGTTGGGTGCCGAGAAGACGGTGATGCACTTCCCTGAGTGAGTGACCTCGTAGCCCTCCGCCTTGACTTCGTGACTCCGGATAATGAAATCCAGCTTGTTCTGATCCAGGAAGCGATCCGTCACATCGGGCCCGAACTGGCAGCTCACGCCTCGCTTGCTGATCGACCGGCCGTTCTGCATTAAACACACATGTTCATTTCTTCATTGAGTCATCCGGGGAGGAGGGGCGGGGCACGTTATGAGAAGCACATGGGGTTCGAGGGTTGTGCTAACCTGAGGCTGGGGGTCCGACCAGAGCAGGTCACACATTGGACCTGGGAGACACATGAGGAAGATGTGTGTTGATGAGCAGCGCGCTCTCTCTCTGTCTCTCTCTCTCTCTCTCTCTCACACACACACTCACAGACCCGAGTCTGGTGGCTGTCTGTTCCGCTCGATCTTTCTGAGATCCTCCAACGTCACGCCATCTTCACTGAATAGCCCGCCATGCATCACCTGGGGCACAACAAAATGAGATCCGGGCTGTTCGTTGCTTAGAAGAGATCAAACACTTTATTGACAAAACACCAGATTTTAGCATCAGGTGATATGCACGCCGCCCCTTTAAGAGTAAACAAGAAAGAGAGAATAGGTGAATGAAGAAGGAGTCTGTGTACTCATTCCATTCCTGTACTGCAGATAAAACAGGCAATTATGCAAAAAGAGTGAAGATTCAGACTGCCACGTTTGCTTCTTGTGTTTAAAAAAAAATGCAAATATGCCAACTGTTGCTACATTGTGGCTCTGCCTACCAGTATTTTGCTGTTGATGCACTGCGCGAGCGGCAGCCACTGAAAGACCTCGCTGAAGAGCTGGAACATCTGCGCCGTGTACTTGGCCTTCACCTCCCCCTCAAAGCCGTACATCTGGTTCATGTTGTCCGTCTCGTGGTTACCTGCGGGTCGGCCATCTTTAAGGTTATCGCTAAGCCCGGCAGAAAGCGAAATTGGGCTGATGACGCCCATGTTTAACGCTTACCTCGAAGCAGGTAAAAGTTGTCGGGGAGGAGCAGCTTGAAGCCAAACAGGGTGAGGATGACCTCTACAGAAAATGAGCCGCGGTCTACAAAGTCACCATTGAACAGCTGAGGTCATCCAGGTTAAGACCATTTTTTGCAAATCGAAATACAATACAGTGGTGCCTTGAGATATGAATTCATTCCCGTACCATGCTCGTAATTCAAAAAGTTGTATGCCAAATCATAATTCCCCATTGAAACGAACAAAAATGCATACGAACGTGCTTAAGATCAGCACATTTTCACCTTGGCCTCACCTTGAGCCAGTATGTAATACAACCCGACTGAAGGATTAGCGGCATTCAGAGACAAAAAGGATACGTAGGGATTGCTCTCCGACGGCAGGCCGTTCAACTCGAAAATGTTGAGGAGATCGTAGTACTGTCCATGCGTGTCGCCACAAATGGTCATTTTTTCCGCCTGTTTGGGAAAATCAACACATCACATTGATTGAGGGTAGAAACACAAGAAGAATCAATGACGGATTTTGTTGCCATGTTAGATGTAAGGAGATGATTTTGTGTAGTCGGTTTGTCTGTCCGTGGCTGTATTTCAACATCAATTGCAGATTTTTAGATGGACAAATTCGACAAGTTCATTTAGCCATGTAGACTCCGATATAAAGAGATGTGGGGTACACAAAAGACACGACAAATGAAAGATAGTGAGCTAAGACCATTTTCGTTTGCCATGAGGCATGGTAGGAGGTTCCTCAGTACTTTAATGTTCTCGCTGAATTCATTTACTCTTATTCATGTAATTGCGTGGAGGACTACTTTTCACTTTTACTTGAATCATATTTTCCTCAAGTAACAGGACTCCGACTTGAGTACAATTTTTTGGCTACTCGTCCCAACTCATCATGATCATGGGTCACAAACACGAATTCACATTCACACCTACGGACATCTTCCGAGCTTTCAATGACCTTAAAATGCACATTTTTGTAATGGGGAATTATGACGCCGTCAGAGAAACGTACCAGTGGCACACTAACATTTTGCAAACTTAAAAAACAAACAAACAAACACGCACAAAAAAAAAGGACCAAAAACACATCCTCACCTCTTGTAGTGTTACTTCAACGAGACTAGGTAGTTTGGATAAAAGGTCTTTCACTTGCACTAAAATCTGCAAAAGAGAATAGTTTACTCCACATCTGCTTGTCTGTCTCAGCGCTTTTCAATGCGAGCGACGCCATACCTGATAGGCGCACTTTCTGTGCAGTTTCTTCTGCTCTTTGAACCAGTCCATCATTTCCTTCATGAACTTCAGGGTGACCTTGCCCTCTTCCAGTTTGGGCCCCGTGTAATCGTCCTCGATGGCTGCGACACGAGAGCGGCATCATTTTAGAGCGAGGATGACGCAAACCTGCAAATTCACATTCTATGCCTGGATATCAATGCTGACAAGGAATATATTTCATTGCTCGTGTTGTTTTGAGAGCAAGACATTTGTCTTTGTGACAAGTTGTGTGCATCATAGTTCTAGGCATCATGACAATTTCAGAGTAACTCCACAATACCAAAGCCAAACGTGGTGTCTTCATTGGCAATAATAAAGTGCAGTTGAATGTCGTCATCTTTGTCGTCTGCTGCTGTGTTTTGCTGATTTGAAAAGAGCTAAGATCGGCCAATAAATCAGCTGGGCCCTTATTATATGCACATTTACGTCTTAATACAAGAAGTTGATGACTTGATTACTAATGGCTTTTTTTGTTGTTGTTTTTGGGAGCATGTATACAGGGAAGAGGGGGTGGACCAATACTGGTGTTTTGCTGAAGGGGGCGCTTGATATTAAATGAAATAATATAGAGAACGGCTGGCAGCAATTGTAATGTTCACACTTATTTTCCCACACTTACTCATGCTTTCAATGTCCAGAGAGTCAACGACTGACTTTTTGATCTCGTCGCTGGCGATGGCTCTCTCGAAGGCCTTCTGCTTGACGATCTTGTTACATTCCTGGTACTTCATCTTCGCGTCCTTGTCGTTCGGTCGAACGCGCACTACCTGTCGTCATATAACACACATTTTAGCTCTTGTGTGACTTTATTCCAGCCTTCCCCAAAAATAGGAACAAACCCGATGTGAAAAATGTGAGTAATTGACACCCGCCAAAATTCACTAACAAAATTTTATTTTTACTATAAAATGTAATTGCTTTATTTTGGTCAGACTTGATTAGACAAGGGCGGCCTGGTGGTCGAATGGTTAGCGCATCGACCTCACAGTGCAGTGGTACCGGGTTCGATTCCAGCTCCGGCCTTCCTGTGTGGAGTTTGCATAATTCTCCCCGTGCCTGCGTGGGTTTTCTCCGGGTACTCCGGTTTCCTCCCACATTCCAAAAACATGCATGGCAGGCTGAGTGGACACTCTAATTGACCCTAGGTGTGAGTGAGAGTGCGGATGGTTGTTCGTCTCTGTGTGCCCTGCAATTGGCTGGCAACCGGTTCAGGGTGTCCCCTACCTACTGCCCAAAGACAGCAGGGATAGGCTCCAGCACCCCCCGCGACCCTTGTGAGGATAAAGCGGATCGGAAAATGTATAAATGAATGATAAGACAAGGTTATTTATTGAAAGCAATAGCAGAGGCCCTCAAGTGGATTACTACTCTTCGTTACTCTTAATATGCCAACCCAAGACATGATATCGACACTCGCACGCTCGACACTTTAGAATCACCACAGGATTAGCGGATTATTCCTCTTTCAAAATGGGGATTAGCACTCGCGAGGTCTTTCAGGTTCCTCTTCTTCAGACCGCCTTACCGTCTCATAGTCCTTGAGTGCAGCCTTGAACTTGCCCAGTGCCATGTTGGAGGTGGCCCGTCGGTAATAGCCTTTGATGTAGTTCTTGTCAATATCCAGCGCCTTGGTCGCATCTGCCAAAGCGTAGCCATAGCACTCGGTGCGCAGGTACGCCAGGCTACGGTTGCTGTAGTAGATTGCATTGGATGGATTGAGCTCCAAGGCCTCCGAGTAGTACTTGATTGCATTTTCATAGTCTTTATCTGCAAAACACACAGACATAGTATAATAATGTGTGCAATTGCGCTGCAATTCTCGAAACAACATATATTTAGTGGGTCTGAAAATTATTTCGTTCTCAATAATAATGTATCTATCTTCGCCTATCTATGCCAGCGATGTAAAGTGACAGCCAGAACAATTAAATGCCCTTCTACTAGAAGGCAGAAGGGACAATTAACCAGAGTATATTATTTTATTCACTTGTTAAACGTTTATCTTAATATAACATTGTTACCCTTGCTTAAAAATACAACTTTATTCTAATATGTCGCCTCTTTTTGGTAACCCACTACGAAAATAAAAAATCCAACTCCTATTGTATTTAGGGAGCTTGGCAGTTATGTTTGGTCTTCAGTAAAGAATGCATTAAAGTGTGTCCAGCTCATTATAGATTTCATAAGCGAGGAGCGGCTGCCGTTGAACGCCGCCGATCACATGATGGTTTCACTGATTAACGGAATATTCTAGCAACTTCTTCGTACGCCAAGTCGCGTCAATCGTGTTAAAAATCTTGCCAAATAATCGGCGATGTAGCTGAACTACCGACTCGGATCCAAAGTGACTGTGAAGTGAACTTGACTTGTACAGTACAATGACTCACGCGGTTTAAGATTGCGTTAGCCGGAGCTAGCCAAGAAGGCTAATTGCTTTTAAGAGTCCAATGAATGGGCTTCACGCGTTAGCATGCCTCGCTATCCTGGCTTCACTTTGACGTGGGGCTGTGATCGGAGCCGTTTAAATGGCAACATTTCACTCCCCGACGGGGACAGCGAAGACGATCTTGTCTGCGTTCGGTCGCCAACTTGACAGGGCTGCCAGCTCACCTTTAAAGTATTTATTGGCCTTCTCCTTGAGTAGCTCGGCATCGTTTACTCCCTCCGCCATCTTCTCCACGCTGCCGTATTGCGACGCGTGCGCCATTGACGGACTGTCGCAAAGATCGCGAAGTGGCGACAATGATTGTTTTCCTGCTCGAGCTGAACTAACTTTTGTTGTGGTGTGTTTATTTCGATGAAATAAGTCAAAATATATGATAAAATATAATTTCTTAGCAAAAATTGTAAGTAAAATCAATTACTGTGTTTGTTAACATTTATTAGAACAAATAAGAGCAAAATACAACACATAAAAGGACACAGGTAAAGTTTTTATTATTGCCATTTTAAAAAAATAAATGTGTATGTTAAAATATTTATGAGATGAATTGGAATTAAAAGCGTAAGTTTTCATTGTATTTCTCGTTGTAAAGCAGCACTGAGCACTACTGACATGGAAACTTGCTTCAGCCCATTGTAATAGTAAATGAACATAGAGTGAATGTGTTAGTCAAACGTTACTTAGAACAAAAAAAAAGCACAAAAGTACGATACGAAAAAGGAGGAAACTGGTATTGTTTGTTGTCTTTATCGTCCTTGTTTGGCGATACAGTAATTTAGTTGTGCATTTCGCTACCAACCAGTAGGGAACGCTAAAGACATTCACCAGAAACCCCAGATCGTGTCAAAAGGTAACAAAAAGCAGTATTTCCCAACCTTAATTGAGCCAAATTATTTTACATTAGAAATGTCTCACGCCACCAAACAAAAATATCTATCTATCTATCTATCTGTCTATCTATCTATCTATCTATCTATCTATCTATCTATCTATCTATCTATCTATCTATCTATCTATCTATCTATCTATCTATCTATCTATCTATCTATCTATCTATCTATCTATCTATCTATGTCCGTCTGGCTGTCTGTCTGTCTGTCTGTCTGTCCGTCCGTCCGTCCGTCCGTCCGTCTGTCTGTAGCACTGTACTGAAATAATAAGGATCTCATCTTATTTACTCAGTGTGAAATTGTGGCCTGTTTAGTTATCCAATTGTAGCCTTTGCCATGTTGTTGTAGAAGAGCATTCAATTGTTTTGCCTATCAATATACAGTATGTCCCTGGCATCCATATGTGAACCAAGACAACTAAGCAACAAAACAACAAAAAAAAAAGTGGTTCTTCACACATAACCCTTTGCTTTGGTCGTATTCCAGATGCCTCCAGGCGTGGGGATGTTGCTCAAGAAGTTTCCTGCCATCTGAGCGCAGCAAGTGGCCTCCAGCCTCTACACATGTTGGAGTGCAGGGGACAAACAAAGTGCAGGTGTGCATCCACATGAACACATGCGCACAGACTTTTTACAAAAGGTTTGGGAAATTGTCCTTTCAGATGAAATGTCAGGATGAACCAAAAATGCACTAATTTGGTCCTCTAAACATTTTAAAGCATGCCCAGTTGTTCAATATTTCAGTGCTTTTTTGCACACATTGCTGTTCCCTATAATGTGTAGCCGAGAGAAGGTCAAATTTAGTTCACTTCTAAGGATCATAGTCCACTGTAGGTTCATCCTGAAATTTCACCTGAAAAGCCAGTGTCCCTAATGTCATATACGCATGCCCATAATTGGCATGTGATGCTCTGTTGCCTTAAAATAAGTCACTTGCCAGAAACATAACGCAACTTAAAGCATGCCATAACTACACTGGACAGACTAATGAGAGTGGCGCCCGGGAAGAAAAACGCGACTTTTGATTTAAAAGTTTGTGGCTTTATTCGCTAATGAGGAGACTATGAGGAGTTTCATAAATTACTGTGACATGGAGGAGTATGGCCCAGTCGGCTCTCCTTGCCCTGACTCACAAAGAACATCCTAGAGTCAAGAGTAAGAGCCTCGGCAGTCAGGTGAGTCACTCCTGGTGACCCCCCGGTGAACACTCACTAACCCTACAGTGTGAGTTCACTAACTTTCCCTTAAGCCAGAAGCGTGATGACTCGTGTCTCCCTTCGAGTCATACAAGAGGTAGCAAAAGTGCTCTCACTCTGTGCTTCAGTAGAGGTAAAAAACGTACAGACTCTGAAGTATACTTAACGGTATGTATAAATTCAATTACAGCGAAACTTCAATTTAATGGAGTATATGGGGTCAGCGATCATCCGTTAGAGCTGATTGTTACATCGAAGTATATGTTGTGTGGCCTAAAAGCATCTAATACAGTACAAAATTATTGTTTTATATATTTTTTGTAGCCTAAACGTGTCCATTACAATACAATGTGTGTGTGTGTGTGTGTGTGTGTGTG